TAGCTTTGATTTATCCTGTCTCTTTTTTCCACTTAGGGTGGGGGGTAAGAGGATTATTGCCTTTCATTTGGTTTTGGTTTACTGGGGTTTTTTAAAGGTGAAATAGTATCCGTGTTGTAGAAGAGTCCCAGAAAGACAATGATGTCACCTTAATACTTTATAAAGTGCTTTAGAAGCATTAGAATATTACTTAGGTAACCTTACCAACAATTTAGAAACAACTTCAAAAATTAATTGTAAGAGGTAGTTAATATTGTGAACCACAGCAAATTAATTACTAATACAGATTTTAAAAATTAATAACTTAAGAGAAAAAAAATGAAACCAAACCATAGAAGAGGAAGAATTACAAGTCAATTGCCATCTAGTCATCTCCTCATTGTTTGCTGTCTTAACTCTTTCTGGTTTTTTTTTCCTTTGGTTATCTAACATCAGTAGGACACTGTTTTGTCCCTATGGGCATCATGACTTTGGTAGCAAGCAGATTTCTGTATATGTATTATCACTTAAGAAAACAGATATACAGCATAATGCAATTTACAGGTTCATTGCTGTGCATTCAGTGTTTTGTATTTTCATGCAAGCTCACTGAGAAGCTTACAGGCAATTGGAACAGAAAGGGTCCTAGTAAGAAAGCACTAAGCCTGTGTGGAAAAATGATGGGAAGATGCAAATAGAAACTGCACAGGGAAAAATAATTTACATCAATGCTTTTATGATAAATGTGCCAACTGCAAATAAAGTGGGTTTGCCTGCATTGACTCAGACATCCATCTTAGATAGGACCTTCAAAATAGCATCCTTTTTGTTCATAATGATTGCTCTTCAGTCAGTCACTCTGACCACCAGCTGGATAAAGATAAGCCAATTAAACACTGTTTGGATCATGCCTAGTATATAAAAATAGCCAGATTTCACTGGTCAGCTCAGAAGTATTTCTGGGCCATTCTCCTGTTTCTGGCAATAGCCAGGACTATGTGCCTGTGAAACAGGTACTCCTCAGTCACCCTCTCTGCTCCAAGCAGCCTGTGGCCATTCAATCAATTAACAAATTCATTAAATGTGGTTAATGGGCTTTTCCTCCATGAAATTGTCTAATTGCTTTTTGAACTCATACTTTTAGCCTCTATATTACCTTCTGGTAATCAGCTCCAGAGTATAATTACACAAAATCCTTTATAAAAAACCCTGAAAAGCTCAAATTACATCACAGGAACATTTCAGAGAATTCCAGAAAGTCTGTTTTGAGGTTAAAGGAAAAGAAGATGTTTCAGTTTGGTGACCTGCGATTTCTATGGCCACAGATAAGATTGTTGCCTGTCACTACAGCAAACGGATCAGATAAACATTCTAAATGGTCCTGTCTTCCTACATCCTTAAAGTCCAGCCATCTTATTCCAGTGGACTGCAGAGACTGATGGTGCTAATATATAATACTGAGAGAGACTTAGAGAGCGCTTTGCTGTGGGGACATAGTGGGTGTCAGAGTATAGTCCCTTGAAGCTTCTCCATAAAAGGGCTGTTGATTTCTCTGCCCTGGTATTGTTGTCGTCATTTGTGTGTGGTTTTAATGTTTCAAATGCTTAATTAAATGATTCCCTATATTTTATGCATAAAGCCTTAATAGCCTTTATTTCATAACCTGTGTTAGTTCATAACCTCTGTTATTTCATAACCTGGCCTCAAGTCACTTCGATTACATATGAAGGTCTAAATGCAGGTGCCATCTGGTACAGTGCTGAGAGGCTCCAGGTGACCTGTGAGTTGGGGTTTTTTATCCCCATTAAGTTCAGAGGAAACTAAGCACATAGTATGTATTTGATACAGGCATCACTCAGGCAATGGGTTTCTGTGTACCATTGTTGATGCTGGATTGAAGTCTTTGGAATTAAACTCTGGGTTCCACTCTGATTCATAAATTATCTGCTTCTTTCCAGACTTCATACTTGTTTTATGGCAGAATTGTATCTTTTTACCATCCTTTCTTGAAGTGCCTCACATTCTCAAAGTCCCGTCAGTCTCTCTGATGTGTGTTTCTCTTCCTCATAGCTGCTTTCCCTCCCCATTATATCACATTGCTTCCAGACCTACAATGCAAGTTCTTCACTACTTCTGCATTCTCCCTCATTCTAATTGCTGGACTTTGAGTGCAGGCTACACACATGAAGGAATATAATCCCTAACTAACCTGGATGTGCAGATACAGTAAGTCTGGGAAAACCATACTTTAACCTGAGAAGCATCTTTTCCTCAAAGTGAAAGTGAGGATATTAAATAGCTAAAAAGAACAGCATTGCCAGCATAGCCTTTCTGATCTGGGTGTACTTTCTCACTGTAATCCCCCAGTAAAGCTATCCTAACAGGAACATAGCCTACAAGAACTCCTTTAAAGGCATCTTCTCCTACTTGCACATAACGCTAGCTTCCATATTTCCATTTTACTCTATACTATTGCACTGCCTCTTCAAGTCTCGTGGGTATTCTCTTCTATCTTTATGTATCTTATATCTTTAATTAGGACCTTTGCTGGTAAGCAGTTGTGCCTGTTCATGTGCTTGTTTTTCAAATGCTGTAAAACTTAAGGCTTTTCAGATTCATCACACAGAAACTTTACAACAGCTTGATGGTTATCTTGAAAAGTGACTTAAAATGTGCATTTCCCTGGCATTTTAACATTGTCTTCCGTAAGGACAAACACAAGAGAGTTAGGAGATACTTCCATGCCATATGAAAGAAATACAGCAGCACATTTGAAAATGAGAATGTGCCAAAAAAGCCAATTATAGGCCCCTGTATTTACAAAAAACACCAATTGTCTGTGGCTTCTGAAACCCAGGGTTGAAACCTTTGGGTTTGGGTTTTAACCTTTGAATACTGCCATTATTTCTGGAAACAGTGGAAGTCTGAGTAACATTTGAGTTTGAACACACTGCTCCTTTTTGTGGAACAAGAAATCTGGGAGATGTACACTGGGAAAATTCTGGGTCTGCATTTGCAGTTAGTCCCTATTGAAAAATTTGATGAACAAATATAAGAGACTGAAGACTGCTTCTTTAAGCTACCTGTATTTTGCTTGCTGTTCTTGGTTACTACAAATACAGCTTGCTTTGCCTGCAAGGGATATTTTGCAGTATTTAAAATACCATTTTGCATGTTTCAGATTTAGTCTGGGTTTATTCAGTACTTCACACAGGTAATCCCTGCTGCTTCTGAAGGCCTTGATCCTGTAACTGACAGCACACTAGCAGACTGCTATTGTTGCTCTGGGGAGACTGTTGTAAGAGAGGCAAGGGAAGACTAGAGATTATAAAAATCACCTTTACGTGATAGGTACATATATATCACTATTGAATTCCTCTAGGCATTCAGGTGTGCTTTTTTCCCTCTTCTCTCCCTCTTCAGCAGCATTGCTCTGACTGGTTGCAGACACTGATTTATGCCATATAGTTATCAATATGTGCTGAAAGCCTGTTCCACTCAGAGCCCAGCTTGTTCCAGCCCTCTCACCTTTTGCAGTGAAGGCTTTTACCTATTTCTGTGAAATATATTGCACTTCTGATCTTACATGATTAGTGCATGCCAGGGCTTTATTTGCCTAAAGAATTAAACAGAGTCCAAAATACTGGATGACCATGTGAACCTGTATGCTGTTACACAGAGCCTGCCTTAAACCTTCTGCTGCAGGGGCAGCTCGCCCAGGTTCAGTTATTGGGTGCACCCAATGGATGCACCTCCACTCATCCCTTGTGCCACCTGAAAACCAAAGTTTTGTGGCATGCCCAACCATAACATTCGTTTCTTTGCAGTATTCAGATCAGTCTTGTCTCCTGTAGCTGTTGATGCCGCTTTTCACACTGAGCCAGCCTGAGTCTTGGCCCAGAGGGAAATTCAACTGATGCAGCTGTCCAGAACTCCAGGAGCAGCCAGGCTGTGCTCTCCTCTGCCAGCTGAAATAGAAATGCTGTTCGGGTAGTGCTCACCTTTCCTTTTGTGAGACACCACCACAGTGGGGAGACAATGCCTTTACTGTTGGCTTAAGTATAACAACTGTATGGTCCCATTCTACCAGTTCAGTCTTCAACCCCACACCATAGCATAGGCTGTAAGGCTTAAATCCTGTAAAACTGTAATCTGCTCTGTACCACTCCACAGCCCAGACATTATGACATTGCTCTGCAAGTTTCCTTGTGGATAAATAAGAGACAATTTGAATCAGCAGAAGAAGCAGTCCTGCACCCCCTCTGCTGCTGGCCACCTTCTCCCATACCCACTCAATCTGTCCTCTTGTACAACACAATGTTCTGTGAGACCAGGCAATGCAAAATTTAAATCACAACTAAAGCTCATTGTATTTATGAGCATTCAGTTTGATTGCAAGCTTCTGCCTTGGATCTGTTCTTACAGTTGTTCCCAAGTGCAACCACAGACGCTCATGTTGGCCTAAGGGAAGGGAATGCATGGGACTGAATGAGCAGTGGCAGTGGGGAGGCAGGTTTTAGGACAATGTTGGGTTACACAAGACTCAGATGCTCAGACGAAGAACTGCTGTCTAAGGTCAATGGCAAGAGTTTTGTGCCCAGTGTATAGCTGCTTTCAGGTTTTTCCAGGTTATCCAAGTCAAGTCATGTTGCAGTTTTGGCCTATAAGATAAGATATGGACTGTATATACATACAGAAGTAATAAAAATGGAAATTCAGTTGCTACAAGGCAGCTCCACAAAAGGTATCCAAATATTAAAATGGGGCTGAAGGTTTAGTTGAAACCTTGTGAATTATTAAAGCAAAGGTCTGGAAACTACTCTCAGAGTCCCTGCATGTTGCTTATTCAATATTCATCCAGTTTACACAGCTTTAGCACCACAGATGCCAATGCAAGATGAGAATCAGCATTAATCGGTCCTCATGCCCTGCTGAGGCTTTGCAGACTGACTGTGCACAAAGACTGTAATCAGCTGATAAAACCATGGTGAACTAAAACTGGGCACCAGTAATCTCGCTAGGGTGCTATATTTACTTAGTCTATATTAGTAGTGACCTGTAAGAGGTTTAAAGTAGCTCTCAAAAGCAGAGTTGGTGTTTAAATGATCGCTGTTGAGAAGCAAGAATCAACATTTGGATGAATAAATACTGAAAAAGGTTACCTGGTATGTTTGATGCTATGGGTGCTGCTGGATCAGCGGATGATATTAATGCCATGGAAATTCACCACTGGTACACTAAATTTATGAAGGAATGCCCATCTGGACAGCTTTGTCTGCATGAATTTAAACATGTCCTGGATCTACATGGACTTACTCCAGAAGCTAACAGCTATGTTGAACAAGTATTTCACACATTTGACATGAATAAGGTAAGAATTCATTCTTAGCTTCCTGGCTTTCTTATGGCTGTACCATCTGATGCATTCAGCAGCATGTCTCAGAGGGCTGGCAATGCTGACTGTTTTGAGGTAAGGGAAGTGATTCAAAGGTGATTCAACAGAAAACTGGAGGCAAATAAGCACAGGTGGCAGACAAACACTTTTGAATGCTTTGTTCCCAGTACACTTTCCCATTTTGAAGCTCGCATGCAGTCATTCCAATACATTTTGATTGGTTCCTCACCTTTGAAGCCTGGATTTTTATCATAGTTTTCAGTGTGTGTTAATAATTGCAAGTTTTAACTTTGCTTTAAAGCAGCATTTGGCTGTATTCATAGGTATTAATGCTTTAACAACATGCAACACAGACACAGTATGATTCCTTCTGTTGCTTTTTGTCTCTCAATTCATTCTGAGCATGTTCTGTGGCTTAGTTTGGTATCACTCAATCCCGCTTTTCCAAAGACTATCTGTCTGGTTTTGATCCATCATCCTGATTGTACTGCTTAACATGCTAGGTCCTCCCAAAAGCAGTTGTTAGTGGCATTGCTGTCCTATGTTCTTCAAACTCAGTGTTCATAGAGGTCTCTTCTAGCCATGAGACTTATCCAGAAGACTGTGCCTTGTTATTTTTCCCTTAAGCCAAAACGAGACTTTCTGAGAGTCATCTGTAATTCCTGTGGAAGTGTTTGTCCTTGACTGATACCAGGTTTAGGCTGAATTGTCAATACTACAAAATCAAAGTCTGCTTCCAGATAACAGAATAGGTGGTCTCCTCATGGTATAAAAACTTACTAAGAAAAAGACAAAAGAAGAAAGCAGCATCAATGTTCTCTACCTACAACCCTGATCTCAATAAATTCAGAGCTGAAATGAAAAAGATGTTATTACATCACATGAACGACTTTAGTGGCAGGTTAAAACTGGTCATAATTGTAGCCAGGACTACTCCAGACAGTTTCAATTTCCAGAAATGGCCTTTCTGTTCTTTGTTATGAAATGAATTATATATATTCCAGAAACAGTATGGTGCCCAAAAGACTAAGTATTCCCAGAGTCAGTACCTTTGTTAGACAGTTCTCTTGTTATGTCTATTTCCACACGCACACTCCCACCCCCAGTTCAACTGGGCTTGTTGGTATTATTTAATTCTTTATATATTTTTATATATTTATATCTTTATATACATATATTTATATATTTGTATCTTTTATATAATTCTTTTTTTTTTTTTTTTACAAAAAAAAAGACCTGTCCTTCTTCTTGGACCAAAAAAAGAATTGGACCTTCTTCTTTTACAAAAAAAGACCTTCAAGTCCTGTTCTTCTAAAATCAGGCTCTTTGCATGCTCTTTTCCACCCCCTGCCAATTACCAGATGGTTAAATATACTGGAATTCGATTAAGTAGAATCACCTAACTCAATAAATGTGCTAATTACAGATGATGAGCAAATTTCTAGTCCATAAACATGGAAATGGACCAGCAGAAATGGTCAACTTAATGTGTCCTTTTCAATTAATAAATCGATGTATTGTGTTCCCCAGTAAAGCTTTATCAATGCCAACTTTCTTGCGTGACATGCATGGACAGGGTCTGAGCCTATCTAAGAGCTTTTTCAGGTTAGCTTTAATGTGCTCTTGGAAAACGTTTGGAAATGGATCCAAAATTTATTTTAGACAAATACTGTCAAGTATTGAACCTGCAGCTGATTTCAGTTCTTTTCCAGAAAACTGGAATGTGAAAGAAACGCTTTTGGAAAATCAGGCTTCTGTCAAGATGACAGCACACCAGTAATGACAGGCATAAGCAAACTGAGCGTTTGCCATGAGTGTGTGGAAAGACAAGATAAAAGTATCCTTCAGAGAGCTTTGTGCCAACAGAAATGCCTAGGAGAACTCACCACTACTGCTGCTATTGGTCTATGTATTTGAAAATACCCATTGTACACAGTGAATGGTTCATCCAGTACAGGCAAAGAGTGCAGAATAACTCGGGCACAAACAGGGCACAGCTGTTCTTTACCATCTTACCCCATTCAGCTTTCTCTACTATTTGCAATCTTTGTAATACTACATGAAATCAAAACTCTTAACAGTTTACTTTGCTTGTTTAAATTACTTAGAGCATTGAGAATGAAGTATATAGATGCTGATGTTTGCTTTTTATACGATTCAAGCATTACAATCCAACATGTTACAGTTGTGAAAAGAGCTTTTCTATGTATAAACTATTTAGAGTACCTTTCTGTAAGGACAAAAAGATAGTAAATGTAGCTAGTCATTCTGTATGAAGACAAGCTTTAGGTAAACCTGGAACCTGTCTAAGCAGGGAAATAACTCGCCAAAAAGGTGGGGAGCTTTTGAGGGGGTTTGAGTGTTGTTTAGGGGTTTGGGGGTTAGTTTTGTGTTTGGTTTTTTGGGTGGTGGAGGAAGAGCAGGGGGAGCGGGATGACTTTTTGTTGGTTGGTTTTTTACGGGTTACCAATTGCAGGGCCTCCCTCCCACTGCAAATAGCTTAGCACCCAGGGAGTAGCTTGCTCAAGTTACCTGATGAATATTAAGATGTATGCCTAAAACTTGCCAGCTTATACATGCATCAGAGTTTGACTGTTGCATAGTCCTGTGCACCCATCTCTGACCCTTTCTCCTGTTTCCCCATAACTTTTTAATCGGTTGGCATATTTGAATGAAATTTGAAAGAGTAGGCGTTCCAGCTAATTACTTCCTACAGTTTTCATACAAAATTGGCAGCTGGGTAGCAGGGACGCACCCAGAATGAATGACCTACTCTTACAGAATTCAGCTTTTATCCATTAAGGCAACAGCTAGCTGGCAAAATAATCAGGCACTTGTTTCCTTTCCTCCTGGTGAGGATACAGGGTGGAGCTGGGCTGCCAGGCTGCAGTGATTTAGGGAACAAAAGACAGAGTCTGTATAAATGTAGGCTTTTATTTTGCTATTCCCAGAAGAGCTTGTTTAATTAATGTTCCATGTTACACAGAAATAGATGTTTTATCCGTTTGGACTCTACCCTCAACACACCTCCCCACACCCCCATTTTAATGACATTAAACAATGATTTGGCCTTATGGGCTTCATAAAATCCACTATCAAACTGCTTAGGCTAGGCTTATAACCTCCTTATTGAATAATGAGCTCCCACTAAAGATTTGATATTAATTTCCAATTCTGCAAGATGTTGCAACAGTCCTTCGTTACCTACTGCAATCTGAGGCATAGATTTTATTGCGTACTTTCTCAACTGAGCTGTTGCAGCAACAGCACAGGAAAAGATATTTAGAAGGCAGAACTGGAATGGCACATTTAGAACAGTTATATACATGAGATTGTATAGTCTGTGTCCTTTCGCAGCTGGAAATAATATGAAGAATGTGGCATCTACTCCCAGATAAAAGCCTGGCAAGTTTTTGTCCTTGTCCAATCTACTTGTACAATTTAGTGGCTGGAAAGGCTTAAACACTTGGAGAAACAGATCAAGTGAACCAGAATGTTTTACCTGACTATTTTACCTTTTCCTCCTTAATAATACCCCCCCAAAAAAAATATTTTTGATGAACTATCAACAGTATAATTTTTAATGGAATGACAACATGATAACTACAAGATTCAGATGATTCTTGTAATGGGTTAAAACTTAAACAGGGGAAGATGAGATTGGATATAAGGAGGAAATTCTTTCCTGTTAGGGTGGTGAGGCACTGGAATGGGTTGCCTAAGGAGGTTGTGAGTGCTCCATCCCTGGCAGTGTTCAAGGCCAGGTTGGACAAGGCCTTGGGTGGTATGGTTTAGTGTGAGGTGTCCCTGCCCATGGCAGGGGGGTTGGAACTGGATGATCTTAAGGTCCTTTCCAACCCGAACTGTTCTATGATTCTCTGATTCAACATACAGCATCTAGAAAGGCTGAGCTCAGTTTTATTTTCCTCTTACCTCGTTGAAAGTCTTTAGAGCCTCCCTAAAAAGCCTGTGGCAATCAAGGACCTCAGCCTCTTAAGCCACGTGTCAGGACCTCATAAGCTTCCCCAATGAGAATCACACCATGTCTGTTCAGGTTGAGAAGATGTGTATGGTTATCTGCTGTAATGTATGTTTCCTGTGAAGTCAGTCTATAGGGCTTCAGGCTGGATTAGGAAACAGATTTATGTAAGAAGAAATAGGATCTGTTGGCATATCAGCTTGTCAAAGAGTAATGCATATGGGACTTTTGTCTTGGCACTGGCTTTCTCAGTAACAGTATCTTCATAATGTTCTTGATCACTCTGGCTATCTCAACACCTCTCTAACAGGAGCATGACTTATGTGTAGCACAGTCAAAAAGCATTTGTCTTCTGGATCCTGATCTTAACACAGAAATCCAGCTCTGATTCCTTTCAATGCCTAGCAGACCTACAGGATCTTTTCCAAGATGACTCCTCTCTTTGCAAGTTAGATGAATCAAGTCTTTCTTCCCTCCCTTATACTTCAGTGGAGTAACAACCTCCCTGATTTGGTTGGCAGAAACTATTTAACTCTTTCTTAATAGAATAAGCAGGGGTTTTATGGGTTTGTGAAAGAAACTACACGTAAGCCAAAGTTCTGAAGGGGCATAACATTCAGAGATGCATCAAGTCATTACGGTTCAGTCTTGCCCACTGCAATCTAATTATATTTCAAAGTTGAAAATCTCAAGTTAGGATTATGGGTTTTTTCTGACATGTCTATGTTATTTTTCTTCTGTTAGAGGATCAAACTTTGCCTGCTGCTATGATGGTACAAATCACTGCCAGATCTTTGACATTACTGGAAAAGGATTTGGGATCTAATCTCTTGCTGCATGTATTTGGCATTTAGGAAGTGAGATTCCAAGCAAACAATAGACTTTGGTGTGATGGAAGCTTCTCCCTGGACCTGAAACTGCTGAAGGTGCCTCTATCAGTCTCCAGTTTCTATGGCATTGAACGTGCCCTGCTTTAAGTATTCAAGTTCCTATCACT